CTGTAAATAGCGCTTTCTGCTTCCTGTGGAAGGAAATAAGTCCCGCTAAACACATAGCTGCATTTCAATAATTTCGAAAGCCGCATAGTGATAATTCGTGAATTTTCTTAAATATGGCTATCTTTACATACGAATTTTGGATAAAAATATGAGCAGTTTGTATACACTGAAAAAAAAAAAAACTTAGCTAGAGCAATCCTTCTGCCTGACGAATTTATCTAGCATTTTTTCGAGAAAAAACCGAGGAGTAAATGGATTTTAAAAATACTGATGGCCTGTGCCCACCGTTGAAAGATGAGATAAAATATCCAGTAAGGTTGATAAGACTATGCACTGCAGTACTAAAGGCATAATTGCTGGAAAGAGAGGGCAAATTAGCATACAATATCGGTCTGATTTGGCCTTTTCCTGTCCTGTTCGCCATGTTTCTTCTCGGCCACTTCGTTTAGTTTCGACTCGTCCCAATCATCCATGTTATCTGGAAGCAATGAAAAGTGACCTTCCAAAAAAAGTTATTTAGAAAATTAAAAAAAAAAACATTCGCGCTGCTACTCAGAGTTAGCTTCTAGGCGCAAGATATTATTTTCGACAGCAAAAATACATTTGCTACTGCATTGAATGACGAAGGCAGGGGACTAATTTTTGACTTTAGGTGAAGCTATCTAAGACTTGTGCATTTTCAGTGCATACAATAAAACCTTAGACTACCCATTCGACGCAAATCACGGGGCGTATCCAGATAGTGATATGGATCAAACGGTGCAAAAAGGAGTCATTATATCGAAACAACTTCGTTATGCACGTATATGCAAGCTTTCAGAGGGATTCCATGATTGGGCTAGACGGATTAGACAAAAAAAAATTTTGATATTGCCAAACTAAAATGCTCCGTTCTTAGATTTTGTTTCAGGAAAAGAGCAGCACTGAGCAAATTCATCTTCCCTGATGATTTAGAAATTAAACGCCTAGTGAGCAGTTTATGCTCATGAAAAAATTTTCCTAATAATTACATATAATGATTGTTCCTACCACTTGTTAAATTCCCCTCTTTCCTTCCTCTCTCACTCTTTTGCTTATTCACTTATAACTCTTTTTCTTTCTTTTCTCCATCTTGCAAATTAGTAACAAGACTATTCAAAACATGGCGGGTGGGAGGCTGTACTGATGA